AAAACAAAAAACCTCATATTAAAAGACGCAAACTTGAAATTCAAAAGCAAATGATAGACCAAGTCATTAAAATTTTTAAACGAGTACCTACTTTGGAAACAAATTATCAGCTGATCGAGATATTACTAAAAAAAATGAAAAAATAAGGAGAAAGAAACCCCAGAAAATATATATATATATATATATATATATATATATATATATATATATATATATAAAAACCCGCATATAAAAAAATCAGGCCTGTCAGGATCTGCAGTTTGTCCTGCGGGACGGTACTCGGGACGGTACTGGCGCTTATTTATTATATCAGATCAAACCATCACCTCCTGGTTTGCAGTACGATCCTCAAATGGGATAAAAGTGTTTTTGCGAAGTTGGCGGTTGTATTAAATGGATGAGGAGATATCGTCGTGTGTGAACTAAAAGGTCAGTCAATAATTTTTGTGACACAACTTTTTTTGTATGTTTCAAATAAAAGACTCTATACCATCAAAAGAACAAAAATTATCGCTATTTTAAAATACCATAAATTTTATAAAAGATTTTTTTAACGTCAAAGGATAATTATTAATATTGCTGAATAAATTTAAAAAGTTTCTGTTTTATTTCCGACATTACTTTAGTTTTTTATGGAAGAGTATTGAAGAATTAAGCTATTTTAAACACGTTTTAGAACGAGACAACTTTTGAAAACATCCGCCTGAAGACAACGATTTTGCCAACCCATACAAGATTAACCGTAATATGTCATTTAAATTTAGTTCACTAATAATTTGTTTACTTTCAACAACAATAAATAAATTTAAGTTTATAATAATACATATATAATAATTTATTATAATCCTTATCTTCACTCATAAACGTGTATTACGTTAATTATTTTAAACTATCTGGTGCAAAGTTAACAATCTCCGCATAAGCTACTACCAACAAAATAATATAAGTCGTCAATATACATTAGTTTAATGTGATTTTCTTTCTTATTACTCAGAGTACAAAGTTATTTATTCTCTATATTTTAGTTATGAATGTAACAACGATGTACCTATAGAAATAAATATTGTAAAATTTCCTATTTTTATTCCTAATCGTTTTTATAAACTAGATTTTTTAGGTTGGAGATTTTTCCATTGTTCTCACTTTTAATGTCATTTCAAAGATTGCACATGCGCAGTTGACGGATCGGGTCCCTGTAATTAATCGCTCCTCTTTTTTGGTCTCCTTTTCATAAGGATTAGATTCCCTCTTTTGTCTTTTTGCTCGATGAACTACACATTATGGAACATTATGGAACTACTACACATACGGAAGATAACACCATCTATTTAGATTGGTATAGAAAAACTACCAATTCCGGTAGATACATACCCTTTAACTCATATCATCCCATGAAACAGAAAGTTAACACCGTTTTAGCAATGAAAAATAGAATATTAAAAATCTCACATATAACTTTGACTGAAAAGAACTTAAAACTGTTGTTTGGCATACTAATATGCAATTATTATCCTAAAAACTTGCTTAACAAACTTTTGTATTCACACACAGAATGCAGTGCACGTGACGATATATCTGTTCATGGTCGGTCGACATCTGATGACGTCGTGCAGGTGAAGTATGGATCATAACCTTACATTGAAGGTTTAACGCAATCTCTAACTAGACTATTTAGTCAATTCAACATAAAAATAGCCAATTATGATAACAAAAAACTCAACTTGTTCTATTCTAAATTTAAAGATCCTGTTCCACCAGAGAAGAACTGCAACGTAATCTATGGTATACCCTGTGAATGTGGCAAAATATACATAGGCCACACAAGTCAACGACTTAGCAAGCGCCTAGCCCTTCACAAAAGTGATTGTAAACACAAACCCCTAGCAACAAGTTTGAGTATTCATGTCAACGATAATGACCATCGGGTCTTATACAATGAGACTATAATTCTAGATAGAGCTGAAAAAGAACCTTATCGAAAAATCCTAGAAATGTGTTACATCAATAATTGTTCTAATTCATTAAATCACAAAAAAGATGTTGATAACTTGAGTTCCATCTATACTTATGTTTTACAACAGAAATTCAGTAAAAATAAAAAAATACCACCTTCTTATACTAGAATTACATAACACTGCTGATCCACACTTCACTGAAACGTACGTTTTCTGTATTTCTACCTCTTATGACTCAGTTGATTGCCTGCACTAAATTTATACTTCAATTTAATTTAATTCACAAGTCAATATGTTAATAATTTTAAATAAAACAAAAAAAATTTTACAACTTAACGTCATATACAAATAATGTTTTTTCCTTTTGTATATTTTTATATCAGTCAACCAGACTATATTGTCTAGTTTTAAATCTTAACATATCTGTAAATGTCCAACCCTTCTTATCATAAATGAATGTAAAAAAACAACAACATATCTGTGATATATACTAACGTCTACACGGATGTATTACTTCCCTTTTGAGAACAAGTTTCAACTTTTATTTTTATATCCATCAGCATCATGATTCACTTAGTTCTTCAACAGAAGGTATGTAATACATACATCTTACCGGAGTGTTGACCACTATATACAACACTAAATACAAACCGAATAATTTTTTAAACATGATATGCTCGTATAGAACGGGACCTATATACACATTTACATATATATATTTTTAATTTTAATTGTGATTTTAAATGAAATTCAACAAAGTCTAATAACGTGACTGAAAAAAGGTTTTGTCTTATACCAAACAAAAAGAAGAAGTAATTAAGACAGGTGCCGTATCGATAAGTGACAGTCGATACGACACATGACTTAATTAACAATTGTCTTGTCAAAAATAATGCCGGCCACATGGTGATATTAAAATATAACAAATTTAATTATTTAATTTAAGCTTTGTTTGCCATCTTCCTCTAAGTAGGAGATGCGTTTTGGTTTGTGTTTGGAAAACAAAGTGTAGTTCCACATCTACAATAATTTATACTAACGTTAAGGTAATATTAAAAATAACATCTTTAATTATGATGATTGTAAAGAATTTTTTTTTCATTACAGCAAGTTCTGATAAAGCCCAAAATTATGTGGCGAAACCTTGACTTTTAATAAAAGACACTCACTTTGAAGCACCCGTTTTTTATTGCTTCCTTAGTATTGGGTCGTTCCCGGTTACCTTCAACTGTCTGTTGTTTACCAGTAGCCCGTTACTGTCCTTGATATTTATATATATATATATATATATATATATACATATATATATATATATATATATATATATATATGTATATATGTATACATACATATATATATATATATATATATATATATTTATATATATATTATATATATATATATATATATATATATATATATATATATATAATATAGATAATATAAATTTAGAACAACCTATCTTAAAATTGAAATTCTTACAATAATTAAATTATATTAACACAATTTGGTACCTTTCTGTCACTGAATGCCTAAATGAACTGTTTTCCAAAATAAAGGGTTTAATCACCACTCAATATATTCGTTATCAGTCTTGATTATCCTTGTTTTTGTGAAATTGCTTTTTCCAAATACACCACAATGTTTTAATTATCAGCTTCCACCGGTTTAAAATATTTTTCTTCTTAATAGCATTTATAAATGGGCAAAATATTCTTCTTTCTTGTTTATTCTTCTTTGAAATAATCTTCTTTCTTAAAATCTTATTTTTTCTTCTTCCAATCTCCATATACATAATATAATTTTTAATTTCCAATTAATACTCTTCTAATACAATTTTTTTCAATCTCCATGTAATACACACTTAATACTATAAAACTTTGAATCACTGATTATTGCATACTGTACTGCATAATTAATACTTTAATACTGACAACTGTATACTATCTACTAATGAACTGCTTGTACTATTTTCTGACCGACTGACTAACTAACTTATTAATTAATTAACTCCATACTGTTCTATATCCTCCAAATTCGAGAGTATTTATATCATTTTAATGTCCCAGAATCATCTTGAAAGAAATCATATTCGAATCCTTCTATTTCCTAGATATATGAATCTTCTCGAATATTCTACTACGCAAATAAGGTTAACTTCCTTATATTGACGTCTTATTTGAATGTTATAGATAATTTTTAACTTTTCTATGAAGATTTTTATGGACATTTAGGCTTTTCTGATCAGAATGTAAACTTATATGTAAATTAAACATCTTAAATTAATAAATAACACTATTTTAAATCCCTAATTATCATTTTAAATGTCTACTTTCTGTTCAAATTCACACTTATGTCATAATACAGTGTATATTTGGTTGCCTATGCACAAGGTGTACACAAATACATCTATAATATGATAATTATTAAAAAAAACTTTTTAAACTTATTATTATGCTAATTTCTTAAGAATACCCTCATATAAATACTTTTTATAATATTCTCTAGTATATAACTTATTTCTTTAATCACTATTTAAGTTCAATTTAGATTACCTTCGTTTCTCCTATATTTAATATTATCTTACTATATATATATATATATAATATATATATATATATATATATATATATATATCCATTATTCTCAATACACTGAAGAAATAAAGTATGACTTGGCAACTTTTTGGGTGCCGGTTGGTGCCAATTTAGGCTTCAGTCAATATACGATTACGCGTCCCCTCTCTTTGTTTGTCTAAGTCTCCTCTTTTTCCTAGTCATACCACTTTAAAATGTGGTATGATAATGAACTGTCAGGGTCGTCTCCCAAGAGTCAGTTGTATCGATAACTCTTTGGTACTTCAGACACATCAATTTCTAATACCTATAGAGCTTATGTGAATTAGTCCGTCCACCCTCTCAGCTGAATAATGATAGTGGACAGATATATGTATAGTAGACAACGATTTATTCATTCTTCCAAAAGAATTTATGTAAATTCTGATCGTGGTAAAAAACTGTATTGAATAAATAGTCCTTTAGTTTTTTACTTTTGTATTTTTAAATAATTTTACAATTTTTTTGTTTGTGAAAGGAAAGCCATATTAAAAAAGTCTTTAGATTTTATTTACTGCTTTTAGTGCCTTAGTGAAAAATTAAGTTTACCTATACTAAATACCACATTTACTTAATACAAAAATTACAATAAATAATAATTATTAAAAAATGATGGGGTCTTGCTCATCTGTTTTCCTATCGGTGCCAACCTATAGACAGAAGAATAAAATATGTGAGATAACGTCTTTAAAAACTCTTTTTAAATGATAAATAATTATTTAAAACTTTCCCATGCTTCAAAAGGAAATTACTTTAAAAGCCATTGTTTTCATAGTTAAATTAAAGCCCATCAATAAATTAAATTTTTATGGTTGAATAACGACTAATTAAAAAAATATTTAAATATTAAACAATAAGATTAATAGTGAACAAGGTAGTAAGTATACAGCCTTATCTTCTGAACATAGCAATAATTTAAGAATCCGTTATTATCAATCATCATCATCATCAGTGGTGCTACAGCTCTAGTTGAGCCTTGACCTTCCCCAGTCTATTTCGCCAGTCGTTTCTCTCATCGCCAACCGTTGCCAATTTGCCGCGCCGATTTTCCTTGCGTCCTCGTCCACACCGTCCCTACATCTCAGTCGTGGTCTGTCTCTACTCCTATTTCCCACTGGGACCGATAATAGAGTTCGTCTGGGTGGGTAATTTTCATTTGCTCTTGACACATGTCCAGCCCATCTAAGCCTACCTATTTTTATGAAGGATATTATATCTCTACCATTTACTATTTTTTTATACTTCTCGTACTATCGTATTATATCGCCTTCTCCAAATACCATTCTCATAGAATGCGCCCATTATTCTTCTTAGTATCTTCCTTTCGAAGACGAGCAGAAGATTTGCGTCTGTTATTTGCAGCGTTATTATCAATAACATTTAAAAATTTAAATAACAAAAACTAAACAAAAAACCAACTCTCTCGTAGTCGGTTGTAAGCCCAGTTAAGAAAGGTGGAGGTTTGGTTCGTTGAGCTAGCCCCCCGCCACCCGGAAAACAATAATATAAGCTAAAAATTAAAAAAAAAAGCCTTTAATACCGAACGGGAACAAACGAAAACGAACGAAAATGAATATAGAATGTAGAAATGCACAGAGTATAAACAATAAATATCAAGAAACTTTTACGAAATTAAAACAAATGAAAATGGACATAGCGGTACTAGGCGAACTAAAAAAAGGATCAAGGAAACGATATAATAGAAGAATATATTTTATTACCACAGTGGAGTAAATAAAGACCAACTAGCAAAAAGGGGAGTTTCTGTTGCAAAAAAAAATATAATAAATATATTCAGGTTTCACAGACATAAATGAAAGAGTTATCAGTGTATGAAAATAAAATGAAGATATATAGTCATATTAGCAATATATGACCCCAACAATGACAGTAAAGGAGAAGAAAAAGATCAGTTTAAAAAAAAAACACATAATTAATTATAAGTGAAATATTTTGAAACACTCTCTCTGCTAAGTGAAAAAATAATTACGTTGCATTTTTCACATATCCATTAAACTCTCTTGTGGCATTGACGACACCTTCAAGGGTTCATGGTTCTTTTGGGAAAATGGCTACTAGAAGTATCCAGTACACTCTTTTGCGACGAACCAAATGGTTTCATAGATGTGGATCGTCTTTGTATGGCTTAGTTGAAAGCTCTACAGTAATGGCGGATAATATTTTTTGAAATAGTGGCAAATGTATTTTGTCATTTTCCATTTGTAATCCTATATACTTTTCACACATTGACTACTGTCACATTTATTATATGGGTAAAGAGTATCCACCACCATTTTTTCCATGGATTCCGATTCTGTAATGATTTACCCCTTGATCAAGTCCACACATTCCCCCTCCCATTGATAAATTGTAGGATTTGCATAACTGCATGAGAGCTTTACTTGTGAAATATCCTCTATGGTATCGTTATTGGTACCCATGGTTACTGCACTGTTGTTGTTCCAACTTACAAAAAGCATATCACTTTCTTGATCGTAGCAATAATCATAATATCCATAATATTTTCTTTTCATCTTTTTGCTTTGTATAAGAGGACATTTTTTAATACGATGTGGCTGTAGATATACTTTTTTGTTTCAATGTCACTAAAAATTCAAAACTCGTAAAATAATTATCAAAAGATAAAATTGATTAGTTGGAACTGTAATAATACTCAGGAGGTCTAAAACAATTTATGATCCTAGTAGCAGTTTAGACTTTTTCTGGTTCATCTGTTCTTCGCTAGGCGTATGGCGTTAGAAGAAAATTATATTTGTCGTACCCGTACAGGTACTTTCTTGAAAATTGTCGAAAATGTATTGAATGAGAATGGAGACTGATTAACCTACATGACCAGTATTCGTTACGAGTATGTAATTGTTTCTTTAGACATAAAGAGTTACATAAATCTACATATAAAAAAAATAAAAGGCAAACTTATGAAACAAAAAAGAAATAAAAAACAAAAAAAAATTAGATAAACAATGTAAATATATAGATAGCGTAAAGGGAAACTTAAAAGCAAGGAAGGGATGGAAATCGTTAAGGAACTTCAAACAGAATACCCATGAAAGGGATGGAACCAATACAAATGGGCGAATGGGTAAAATATTACTCATAGTAAGTTATAACAGTTATAAGTTATAACAAAATAAAGGATTTCTATACACTAACTCAACTTACGAAAAAGAGATAGACAAACAAAAGTTGCAGATAAATCTGAAAACTAAATAAGAATTGTTGTCTTTAGAAAGTTAATGCTCCCACAGTTGCTTGGGTTTCCTTTTTCGTCTTTTTTTAAAGAGGTGTATTAAAATAATTGATATCTATTTTTGCGGTAAGTATTCTATTATGACCTATTGTTTTCGGAGTAAGTTTCAAAAGCTGCTTAATTAATGTTCGTCTCCCATAATTTAAGAGTTTCTTTTAGTATGCCATTATCTGCAGATCATTTTCCCTTCTTTAATTCTGTTAGTCTTTCGCTATTTCTCTTTCTTCCATATGTAATTCTTCATCTGTTACTATTTCTGGAGTAGGTGGTTCGCTATCTTCGATTTTAAGTAATCTCTGCATGTTCCCTTCTGGAACATTCTAATATATCTTAATTAATTATCTGAATTAATTTTTTATCTCTGCTTCTTTTACACTCTTTCTGAGTTTTGCTTATCTTTCTTTCATGTTGCTGACATCTACTAGATCATTTTCATCAATCTTCTCTGATATTTCATGTGACAAGTGCATTATTTTGTTTATTATGACTTATTCTATATTTGACCCGCAGATTCCTGAATGTGTACTTATGTTGATCTATGTAAAGTTGTAGCATGTATAAATTACTTATAACTTTCGATTATATAAAATTTTTTGGGGCACTTCTGGGCCATGCATAAAATTTCTTTTAAAAGTTGTTTACAAAAACTTGTTTGCGACGCATTCAAGAGAACTGCGCAATTAAAAAATTCATATGTTACGTCCTAGTTCTACAATTTTAAAAGCAAGCAATAATCAAGGTGAAATTCTCCCTTAAAAATAATTTTGATTGGCCCGTTGCAAAGACTGGTAGAGCTGAAGAGTGTCATAGAGGAAGTCCGGTACGACGGAGATCAAAGGTCACATTCTACTTTGAAAGAATTTTTGAAGAGACAACACGCGGCGTGGGCTTTAAAAAACCGGCAAATTTATTGCGAAAAAGTAAATTATACTCAATGTAATGTGTCAGTTTTGATAAAAGTAGTAAATGTTTTATTTTTATGCCGTCTCTCATCTGAGAGGTTTGTAAAACGGCGTCTTTCAACAAATTTAAATTTGTTTATTTCTTAAAAAAAGTTTCTAATCCCTTTTTGTATTTTTTAGGAAGGAAGAGCCTTTTTTTCATCCAGCAATAATATTCTTCTAAGTGGCATCCATTTTAAATAGCTTAAGAACTTCTTTTATTGTGTTTCCAGCCTCCTTGTCGTTCACTCATCCCCGATCCAGCTCTCCAGAAAAACCCTGAGTAGCCGTTCGCAAACGTTCTGGTTTTTTGCTTACCCTATCTCTAGCCTCGTAATTTCTGTCAACCCCTTATAGTCATAACATATTTGGTAGACAAAATAATCGTTACAAAGTAAATACTTTCTATTTAAAAACTAATTATTTATTTTAAGTTCGATACTGGTACAGAAATTCATGTACAATTCTTCGTTTTCATTTTGAACAATGTGAACAAGCAATCTTGTTATATTTCTTTAAGCAAATACTAGAGCTAGCAGAGTCGGTAATTTTTTAGAACAATGTTGTTACTAATTAAGAAGATCTAAAGACATGTCGACATATATATGTTAAAAATAAATAATTGTTGAAGATAAATATTAAAAATACATTTATTAAGAAGAAATATGTAGAACTAAGGACTAAAATATCTATATATATATATATATATATATATATATAAATATATATATAAATATATATATATATATATATATATATATATATATATATATATATATATATATATATATATATATATATATATAATTCTATCGATTTAAAAAGTGGTCGGAATGTATATATTTGTTCCTTTTTAAACGGGATGAAAAATATTTGGCATTAAATACTTACATTTCTATTGTTATTGTTCTTTGTTGTGCAATTCTTCAAATGATTTAGTGCATCTGAGTTGTTTCTCATTTTTTGATCCATTATTCCTATTTTCTGCAAAACTTGTTGGATGTCTTCTTTTATATTTGACGTTGCCTTAACTACAGCTACAATTTGTGGATCCAAAACTGATGTTTTAAAAGTGCCCAATCTGAAAATATATAATGATATTTTTATGAAGCAATTACAAAAATTATGCATCTGGGATTCGCTATAATTGTACTAGCCTCTATTTATTTATAAAACGAATATATAATATATCTATAAAACGAATAATGTTTAAACTATTTTTATTTATTTATGTTTTATTTAGTAGTCAATGTTACAGCCCTAACCCATATGCAAGTTCAATTCGCGTGGGCACGTTCCTAAACAAATTGCCATTATTTCGTTGTGGTAGGTTCTTCCTTTTTTGGACAGCAGCTTGTACTAGCTGTGCGGTGTTTTTGGATTATCCTGGGGAGCTCTAATTCTTTTTTAAAACATATCCCACAAATGCTCTATAGGGTTAAGGTCAGGTGAGCAAGCAGGTAACTTCAAAACAATGGTATCTTCTACTTCAAGCTTCTGTAGTTACTCTGTGGATATGTGGCGGTGCATTATCATTCACAAAAATTAAAATTTTCACCATTAAACCTCTTCAGAGCCTAAGTACAGGTTCTAAAACCAAATCAATATAACTGTGAACTGTTCAACTTGGTTAGAAGGAAATTAAAGGAGCTTTTTAATAATACATCCTCCTTTATATATTATGTGAACTGATCTGGTACAACTAAAAAATCTCTATATGATAGGTTATCGGCCAAGGAGAACGATAAAATGAAATTACTATTTCAATATTTTAATAGAAAACCTTGTGTGCAGTGTAATTGCACTTTTTCAGTTCTGATGATTGTGAAGTAACATATAGATATCAGTCGACGTCAATTACAATAAGAATTAGTATCTTTTTTGAATTATTATCAAATACTAGTTAGTTATGTAAAAAATTGTTTATAGAAAATTTTTTTTTTGGAAAAAAAAACCTGACAAAAATATAGTTGATATATATATATATATATATATATATATATATATATATATAATATATATATATATATATATATATATATATTACATCAAACGTAAGGCCAAGAGCAGACAGAAGACAACCATTTACACGTTGGGCTGATGATATCACGTATTGGCAACCAAAAATTGACAACAAAGAGCACAAAAACGTACAGAATGGGTGGAGTTTAAGAAAGGCTTATGTTCAGCAGTGGATGATATATATATATATATATATATATATATATATATATATATATATATATATCTGACTGGAGCCCTAATAAACTTTGTTGTTTATATAAATATATGTATATATATATATATATATATATATATATATATATATATTATAAATAATAATTAATACAAGGAAAAAAAAACAAATCTCTTAACCTTTATACGCCCATGTGTAGGATGTGTAAAAAAACTCCACCTAATGCGTATTCCGTTTTAATATATTTATTATGTGTTCCAAATATTTTCAAAAATTATTTAATGTTAAAATGACATCACTTTATCAAATGTTAATCTGGTTCTATCATTATTTTTAATTGCACAAAAGTTTCACTTTTGGTAAAACTTTTCTAAAGTAAAGGTTTCTATATATTTTCTAGATGACACAATTTTTTTTAGAGTTGCCCACCCTTTTAAAGGAATTGGACTCCGTTAGAATTGCAGTTGATGCGCTTATCTTGGGCTTAGCTTCTTTGTTTTATAGGAATGCGTAGGAGCTGTCAGTGCTTGTTTATATGTTGTGCTAGGAAGAAGTGAAGCCATTGACTTAAAATGGGCAATTATTTGTCAGGTTCTGAGTTGGAATTAGAAATAGAAAAAATATAAAATAGTGCTAGTGATTTAAACAGTGAGTATGACGATTATGATTCCAACGTAAACGAAACGGAAGATTATATTTTACCAGATACCCACAACGAAGATTTCGAAACTTATGATTCTCAAAATTACAATTTGCATGTAACTCCTGTACATCAGTACGTAAATAAAACAAGTAGGGCATGCTTGGCTTACCCTCCAAGAATTAGTAAACGACCGAAGCAGAACATATTCACGAAGGTATCGTTACGTCTATTACAGTGTCACTTTTAAAATTTCTCCACGACATTAATTGACGCAATTATCAGCCATACCAATGAGGAGGCTAAACGGAAGAATGTGGAGAAAATCGACAAATCTGAATTAATGATTTTTACTGGTATTTTAATTTTGATGGGTGTAAATGCGGATACTAAGCTGAACGACCATGATTTGTAGTCAAAAGCATTTGGCAAGGCTATCTACGTTGGTACTATGAGCAGAAACAAAATCGTAGATTTGTTAAAAGTTTGACGATTTGGTATAAGAGACAAGGCATGCATGGCGAAAGCAAGATACACTTTTACCACTTAGAAATATCTTTAAATTATTAAACGGCATATCGAAGATACTTTACTCCAGAAGTGAATTTAGTTATTGATAAGGTGCTGTCCCTGTTTAGAGGAAGATTTCCTTTTAAAGTTTTTATAAAGGATAAACCAAGAAAGTATGAGATTCTCATTTGGATGTTAGCAGATTGAAAATCTCGTTACGTTCCGAAAATATAGGTTTATTCTGGAAAGGTGAAAAGCACGACACCAATGTCCAGAGAAAAGGTATTGTGAATCATCAAGTTGAACCAGTAAAGAATACAGGTCGCAACGTTACTACTAATCGCTATTATACTTCCATAAAGTTAGCAGAAGGATTATATGATATATGACTTACTATGATTAGTAGAATGCAACAAGACCGCAAACATATACATGGCGTTATCAAAAGAACTCAAAATTAGAAACTATACTCAAATATTGTCGCCTTTATGGATTCCCAGTTTAGAAATCCACCAGTTATGTCCCTAGAAAAAAGCCCACAAAAATACTAATTTTGTTATACACACAACATTGTGATGAAGTGGGGAGCAACGTTGCCAAGAATAAGTCTAATATAAATGTATTTTATAATGACACTAAGGGTGGAGTCAACGAAATAGATCAAATGGCGAGGAAATGCAGTTCCAAGAGATCTACACGAAGGTGGCCATTGTGAACATTCTTTACGCTAAAGGTGTAAAAAAACCGTCAAAGACATTCATAGTGTTTGCGAATTACAATATATTATAATATGTATATGGCAGACACAGTAAAAAAATCAATGTGTGTTTCAGTTTCAGATATGCTGCAGTTGAACATTGGGAGTTAAATTAGCCTTCTTATTTCAGACTGAATTTTAATTGTTTGTTAGTTTGTTAAGATTTGTACATCATTTAAATTAATATTTTTGAAAATGATGTATTTACTAAGAATAAGATTCTTAAGTCTAATCCATTTCTAAGATATGTAACAACTCTCAATATATTAGCAATTTTCGATGTGGATTTTTTTGCCAACTCTTGGGCATACACGGAACCAACATATTGTTGGAGGTTTAAGGTTTATTATAATTTTTGTAGAGACACATAAATGTCAAAAAAAAGAAAAGATATTATCATAAAAATGACAGGAGGACATTGTTATAGTAAAAATCTTTCTTGATATAAAATTCTATTACAAAATATTAAAGAAGTAAAAGAAAAGTAGCAATTAAAAACGTTGAATGTGGTTTACATCCCATCATCTACAAATACGTATGGAGGAATTGAAGAGATACAAGTAAGAAAGAAGAGATCAGTAAGACTGGTAAAAAAATAAATCGTGGAGAATATTAATTGTTCACCAGCGATTCTAGATTATTAGTAGTAAAAAAGAAGGATATGAAAGCAGTACATAAACTGTTCAACTTCCACAACCCTGAGGGAGTCAGTGAAATGTGTATAAATTTGACCAATTGTAATTAAGTTTCAAGCAGTAAAAAAGAATATGTGCTTTGTGCAGCATTAAAGACAAACAAGTTCGAACTGAATGGATTTGTTCTGTATGTAAAATTTCGTTATCTTTATTTACAGGCAAATTATGCTTTCAAAAATATCACAATAAACTGTAGGTTCACTTTTTTATATTAAAGTATATTAGTTTTATGTCTGCAAACTTATCCCAACTGATACGGTGGTACAAAACCTTTACCACCCCATAACTAAAAAAATAAAAACGTAGTTACAAAAAAAAACATTTGGTTATGTATTAATATTAACCCCTTTTTGTATGTTTTTTATCAATTTGTGAATAAAAATATTGTTGCTCCACTAGGGAATTTTTTCTTGGAAACTTTTGCTTCTCAAAGAGTTACATTTACTTTTTTAAATAATTATTTTATGTTTCTTAAGAAATAGTCGATTTCGTTCCATATATTTTCATCAGGACTTTCCCATGTTTATCTTCTGTTGCTTTTCTTTTAAAAAATGCTGTTTATTTGATAGAGATAGGAACCCTTCGCTCCCAAAATTTCCCAATATTATTTCAGAGGGTCTTTCTTGGTGCCTATTTTGGCAATAAAGTCGCAACCTTTAAGAAGTGGCCAGGATTTTCCTTGATTGCACAAGATATTTTTAACCTAATATGTAACTAAAATATGTAACCTAATTATATTACGTTACATATTTAGATAGTAAGTTAAACTAAAAATCAATTACGGAAGAACAACATTGGTTAAACTTCAACTTACCCTTAGACTAAGTATTGTGTAAAGTGCTAGATATGGCTCATTTTACTTTATGGTGCAGAAACGTGATCTTTTATGGTTAGATCACTGAAATAAATTGAAGCATTTGAAATGTGGACTTTACAGAAACTTTTACGATTACCATGAACCGCACATGCCACTATTGAAGCAGTTTTAAGAGCCGCAGGTCGCAAGACAGAACTTTTCAATATAATTAATGAAAGAAAATTCCTGCTTTACCCATATCCAAAAGAAAAGTAAATATTTTATTTCCAAACTAATATTACAAGAAAAGATGCAGGGGTGCCGAGGCCAGGAAGAAAACAAAATTGTGGCTAAAAACCATAAGGGGTTGGCATAATATCAGAGATGTAGCCACAATATTCCGAAGGGTCGAAAACGGCACTCTACAAATGGTTTGAAGTGTACAGGAAACCTCATGATGTAGCACATGGTTCTACTATGCTAGGGAGGAAAACTGGTTAGCAGAGAATAAATAAACTTAACTCATTGGAAAGCCACCTCATAACAAAAGAGTTTATCTTCCTTATCGTATAATTAAATTGAAATATCTATATTAAACTAGCGTTTTTAATTATTATATATATATCGTTAAAAATAATATCTTTGTGTGATACTAACCTGTGACACACTGCTTCTTGAACATGTATAGCACCTTCTTTCGAATATTTGGATATCTCCGCCAAAATTTTGTTTACTCCAAACTCTACTTTTGTTTTAGTGTCAGTAACACCATCAGCAACATTTTGCATTACTTGGTCCAAACGATTAAGATCTTCAATTTTATTTAAAATTTTGTAGTTACTAGTTACAAAGCTACTTCCAAGATGATTTGTCAATTCTGAGAGGTCATTTAGCTTCATAATGGTATCTATATGAGTTTTCTTGATATAGTTGATAAGTTCAAAATTGGATTTGTCTTGTTTTGGTAAAGAGAAATTTTTATCCATACCTCGGTCGTAATTTTGTGATACCTGGTCTATTTTATTCTGTAGAAGTTTAACGCCTGCCAGGATATTTTTAAGATCTGATTGTTGACCATTAGAAGCTGTAATAGGTATAAGAAGCATAAATTTACCAGATAGTTGAAACTTTAATTAATTTAAATAAAGATTTCATTTATATGCGTTGTATCATATTCATTTATATTTATTCGTTGTGGTCCTGCATACTAATGCAAACACATAGTGGTTCGAAACGAAAAGCAAAGAATTTTAATAACTAAATAAAACAGACCCTCGTGAAGAGAACCAATTCAATGAGTATCGAAACTGAAAAAGGAATTTTGATACAGAGAGTTGTAGGCATAGGGCAGATTTTAGTCGATACTCAGCGTTCAAAAGTACTACTGTATCTAGAATATAAATATAATAAAAATTCAACTTATTATTTTAAAAAATGGTTTAAAAATATAATTATTTTTAATTTAATTTTGTAACTGTATTATGAATTTAATCAATTCTCGAAAGGCATATTTATAAATAATTTATCTATTCGTTGTTCCATAATTCCGCTATTGACCTCTTTAATAATTCCCACAAATGTGGATTTACCACAAATGATAAAACCAGTACCTAAAAAGATTTTTTTTTAACGGTTAACGTGTTGTAACTATGTTAATCCAAATAAATTTCAAGGGTTTGCTTAATTTACAAACGAAAACTGTAGTGTTAACAGGGCAGAATACTGACATACTTGACATGATGTTTGCTACTAATGTTAGAAACATAACATATTGCATTAATTTTACAACTAATGAATAAAAGTTACAGATAACGTAAGATCAGAAAAAATGAAAATATGACTTTCCCTAAAAACTCAACGTAAAATAAATCATATCATATTGGCGAAAGGCAGCACAATAATTTGCGAAAAGCACATGGTTTTTATTTCAATAACGAGATCTCAAAAACATTGATATTATTTTAAATGTTATGAAGGAATACAATCATTTGCTTCATCTATGATGAACGATTTTATGAAAAATGTTACAAATATTAATTTTGTATACGATAAAAGGTTCGTTAAAGATAGTTTACTGGAATTTCAATCGATATAAACCAAAAATTACTAACAAATAATGACTTTAAATGTCTTTAAAGAGGACGTATTTAAAACGTTTTTGTTTGCTAAATACTAATTACTGTTACCGAATTCCAATTAAAACCAAATGATCTGTTGATGAGTATTGTAAATGATACGAACTAAGGTGGAATAGGATTTTAAACGAGTTATTTTTCTACATAAAAATGTTTCCTTCTGGGACTGGACCTGCAGCAACAAGTCAACTGTAGCTTGCTTCAAATCAATTGCAAGTACAATCACACATGTTACAATCTGATAAACCAAATATACTTCGGTCATATCTTTGGAGTCTCCGTATAAAAGTGATTCCGATGATGGCAATAAAATTAAACAAACACTTGTAAATAGTACTGTACTTTTCTATCTGTACCCCAACCTTTCTACTAACTACCTGAAGTTGATATATCCCTTTATTGCTTCGTCCTTATCAGCAAGTACTCTTACAATCTGCATAAGTCAGGTACTATAATTATGAGTGAACTCTAGCACATAATATTCAAGTTCTACTAATAACTTCAAAGAAATACCAGAATTACCGATTCACGTGAATCAAGCAAGATATTCCCTATCAGACAGAACCAATATATATAGGTAAATGAAAGCCAATCTCTGCCGAGAAATGATCCGAACAGAACATGAGAAATTTATAAGCTATGAAAAAGAGAAAATAATCAAACGTTAGTGTTATAATATATATATATATATATATATATATATATATATATATATATATATATATATATATATATATAATATATATTTTATCTATAGTTAATATAGGTTTGAATAACCCTCTAATTGTTAAAACGGCTCATTGTGCTTTTTGGATCAAAATAGAGTATGGAACATTACAAACTTTGCAACAAATATCCAGATCCTGCTTCAATTTTAAAACCTGTTTGTAAGTTGAAATAATAATATATGAAGTATTAAAATATATTACGCCCAAATTTACCTGTTGTGACATTAAGCTTCCACTCTTCGTTCTTTTCATTGCTAATTTTACTATTACAGTTATCCAGTTTTTTATCAAACTTAGTGAAGAGCTCTTGGTTTTTATTAAAATACTTTTTTAAGTTTTCCAAGTTTTTGGTTTGTTGATTGCCGTCCTTAATTTTATCAATGGCATTTTCAATTTTTCCTATAGAGTTAGTAACTATGGAGATTTTGTCCATTATCTGTTTTTTCAATGAGTCAAACTCTTCCTTTGATACTATAGGTGGAGAAATCTGACTAGGAGGCTGATGTGCTGAAATCTAAAATATAAGTAAAATATGATTATCTAGAAACATGCGTTGTAATAGTGAATACTATTTTTCTAATTTTATAGTTAGCGCTCTTTTAAAATATTTTTTTTTAACTAAACCAGTAGGTTAATATCAAAATAAAAATTATTAAACATTTTTACTTAGTAAGCTTCTTTTTTACATTCAATGATTCTACAGTTCTTAAACTAAAGACAGTTAAAGCTCAAGATATCAGTAGTGTAGCATAATTCAAGTGATCATTGGAGTAGATCAATCAAAATTGATTTAATAACGGCAAACACAATCTCTTGTTTTATTTATAAAATCATCAACACCATTCTCTTTGTTTTTATCCGTATGCGGATTTGGTTTTTTCTTACCTTACATTCCTTTAAAGGGCTACAGCTGATTTCAATAGATTAAATAGATTATATATTTATTAATTGCATCATAATATATAGGTATTCATTGATAATTTGCGAAAATTTCGACTTTTAGTAATTATAAAAAAAGATACGATTTAAAAAAAGACTAACTTAGCTTCTATTACTCGTAAAAGGGTGTCTTTTTTGTTAAATATGAATGTTTCAATCACATTTTCGATTCACCTGATTAGAGATATGTATTAAAATAATTAAAAAGTTATTCTATCTATTTGTTTATTGGCAAAGAAACATCTTTTTTTATCTACTTGGTTAAAGACATTTAAAAAAAATAATTTTTGCGTTTCTTTGTGGTTTTAATATTCAAGAATTCATTGCTTATTATTAAATTACTAGAGAACTATATCGTGGGCAGCAATAAGTGTTCAAACTTTTGATATAAGTTATAAACCTTTAACAATATCTCTTAAACTAATACATTACTCTATTTGAAATTTTGTATACTTATATAGTATTATTATGAAAGTATTATAATGTCCCTTACTGTTATTATTTCAAAAATCATTTACATTTATTAAATAGTGCAGAAAAAATGGTTTTTTGCAGTTATCTCGGTAAATTATTGATGAACCTGATCCCTAAGTTTCATTAACTATGTTCCACGACAACTTAAAATGATCAGATGTCTGTAATAAATTATTCTGCACCAATGGCCATAGTTGTCTAGGGACTTTATGTAAAACAAATTGCGTGAAGTCGATCAATTTTTAATTACTAGCTTGGGTTATCAATCAAAGGTTTGTATGTTTAAAGACGAAGCAAAACAGTAAAAGGCACACAATGTTGCAGTATTTTCTTGAAAATGATTTCCTGTACAACCATTCGTTTACCGTAAGTTTCGTCAAAAATGCGAAAAAGACGGAATTTTGGCCACTCAAAACGTGAAATTGATATCCCGGACGGAGTTGTTGAAGTTTTTAAAAAAGAAATTTTGTTGCTTCATACATACGAAACTTTTTTTGAGAATTGGATTACATAAATGCAAAAGTGTTTTATACAGTTGTTTACATGTTTACAGTTTATATACATGTTTTAATTTCTAATTTTTACACAATATATTATGGATGTTTTCGGAAAAGTGAGATGTATTAGAACTCTTAACTCTGACTATAAATAAAATTGCAATTTTTTTTTAAAAATCGTATGTTACCCCAAAATCTTATGTTTGGAGTCTTGCTTTTTAACTAATTCTAACTTAACTCCCTCTGTGGCGCAGTGGTAAGAGCGCCTACCGTTGAACCTAAAGGTCGTGAGTTCGAATCTCACCTGGGTGGATGAATTTTTGTTTATTAAAAATTAATGAATGAAAATAATTTTTATGGTACTCACCGGAGGGACCGCAGACGTTCGGATAAAATTAGCGTCTCTACATGGTGGGTATCAAAATTAATCAACTGATACCAGAAAACAAAAACAAAAAAAAAAAAGAAATGTATACATAACCCAATTGGATTAGCAACAAAGAAAGAGCAAGAAATATACGAGGAAACATTGGAAAGAGAACTAATAAAGATACAAATAGAAGAGCAAACTGAGAACAAATGGGAAAACATAAAGCAAATAATGAACAAAGGAGCAAAATAATGTAATAAACAAGAGAATAAAAAGATGAAAGACTGGTTCGACATAGAGTGCCAAAAAGAAATAGAACTAAGAAAATCATTAAGGATGGAAATGATCACGAAAGAAACAATAGAGACAAAGAATAGATATAGGGAGCAAAGATAAAAAGTAAAGAGAGTGCTGCAGAGTGTGCAGAGAGAAAAGAAGAGAAAACACATAGAAAATAATCTAAAAGAAATAGAAGAGAATTACAGAAATAAAAAAATAAAAATAATATATCAAGGTGCTATAAATGAAAAAAAAGGTTTCCAACAAAAACCCATATTCGTTAAAAACAAAGCAGAAAATTTTGATGAATTACTAAATGGCAATAATAAGTCAAACCAAAGAGAATATATGGAAGCAGAAGCAAGAATCGAACACATAGAAGACATAGAAGATAATTCACCCAGCAAAAAACAAATCGTGTAAAACATAACAGCAGAGATGATAAAATATGGTGAAAAACTGCTAAATCATTGGATATGCAAGATCATAAAAGAGATATGGATAAAAGAACGAATACCAGAAGATTGGAAGGAAGCCATTATTTGTCCATTACACAAAAAAGGAGACAAAACAGAATGCAGTAATTACAGAGGAATAGCGTTACTAAATACCATATATAAAATCCTATCAAAATCCATAAAAGATAAGGTGGAAAAAGAAGCTGAAAATATAATAGGCGAATACCAGTGTGGATTTAGACGAGGAAGAAGCACAACGGACCAAGTATTGATAATCAGAGAATTACAAGCAGAAAGCTATGAACACAACTTACCAACGATAGCGCTATTCATCGACTTCCAGCAAACATACGACAGAATAAAAAGGAAGGAATTAAAAGAGACCCTTGAGGAACTGGGAGTTAGCAGAAAGTTGCGTAACATGATACATCTTACTTTAGAGAATACAGAAAACAATCATGCATCGGACAAATTAAATTAAGGCAGGGTTTTGTCATCACTACTCTTCAATTTATGCCTAGAAAAAATAATGCGAGAAGCGGGAATTAATAGAGAAGGACTCCTATATCATAAAAGACACCAAGTTTTGGCATTTGCGGATGATATAGTGTTGCTGGCAAGAGGAAAAAAAGAGCTACAGGAGATAGTACAGAGAATAGTAAAAGCAGCAAAGAAAATGGAACTTTACATTAATGAAACTAAAACAAAATGTATGCAGTGGACAGATGATCAGTTTAGGGATGGACAAAAGTTTAAAGTAGAAGTAGAAGAAAGATTATCATACGAATTCGAAATAGTAGAAAGATTAACATACCTAGGTACAATAATATCACGTAAACCTAACATTAAAGAAGAAATACAAGCTAGAATAATGGCAGGCAATACAGCAGTACTTGCTCTTAGTGCAATGTTGAAAAGCAAGTTTTTATCAAGAATGGCAAAAATACAGTTATACAAAACAACTATACAACCAATAGCAACATACTGCAGTGAGATGTGGACAATGACAAAAAATGAACAAAATTTACTGGAGATATAGGAAAGGAAAATCTTGAGGAAGATATATGGAGGAATAATAGGGGACCGTTTATGGATAGGAAGATCAAATGATGACTGAAAGAAATTATATAATCAACCCAACATAATAGGAGTCATAAAGGCACAGAGACTAAGATGGCGAGGTCACCTAGAAAGGATGCCGAACACGAGGACTCCAAAAAGGGTACTAAACTACACTATAACTTCAAAAAAGAGAAAAGGAAGGCCAAAAAATAGATGGAATGAGGAGATAGAAAAAGATATGGAAGAAATTGGACTAGACGGCCATGGGCCTCTAAGGCCTTTACTGCTATTGTATATATACATATATATATATATATATATATATATATATATATATATATATATATGTATATATATATATATGTATATATATATATATATATATATATATATATATATATATATATATATATATATTGTACTCACCGGAGGGACCGCAGACGTTCGGATACAATTAACGTCTCTTAGCAAAAGACAATGACGTCGACTTTGTATCAAGACAATTACTCTACACACACACACTACACTAGGTACCTGACTGTAAAAATTCACTGTACCATGCCAATGACCATTAGTTGTCGACGCATTAAACTCAACTAATTCTAAATTAAATCTTAAGTTTAAAAAAGTTTTTTGAAAAGGTTCAGATGTCCGAATTGAATAATAAAAAAGTTATAGGAATTTTTATCCAACGCACAAGTAGCGTAAATCATCGTTTATTCATAGTACGTAGCTTATAACCCTTTGATAGTCAACTTAATTTGTTTATAATAATTAAACTTTACAATTAATCACTAATTTTTCGCTAATAAAATATTTGATAAGAGTGATAGCCATAAATGTTTTGAACCTATAAAGAGACGATGGGCCAATCAAAATTTTGATTTTTTCTGCACTTATGTCATGGGTAGGCTCATTATAGTTATGAGTTGATTGTTTCTTGTTTTGACTATTCTCTATTATTTTCTCTTTGAATAAAAAAAAATATAATATAAAGATATTAAGAGAAATGAAAAAGAAATTTAAAATTTGTAGTAAAAATTGGACGTTAAAAAATTCTGGCTCTTTTATGGGTTATTTACATGTTTTATACTCTAACTAAAAAGTTTTATTAAAAAAAAAATCCAGATTTTAATTAGGAATATTTTGATATTAACCTTGACCGGTTATCAACAAGTTGAAGGCCATTTTCATCTATTTGGAAGTTCGCCGTTCGTCTATTATGACAACTCTAATAAAAATAATCACATTAAAAAATATATAGAACTAACCGTTGCAATGATTTCGTTTTTCATCTTCTCCATAATAATAAGCAGACTGTTTTGTATGCCAACTACTGTCTGGTGCGTATTCTGCAACTGTGTTACGTCTCTTTGGTCCATTTGTTTTAAAAAAGTTTCGATATTTGCCAATCGATTGTCAACATTTTGTGTTTTTGTCTCGATGTTTACTAGGTGCGGAGATAATTGATCGTTTACCCATTTTACCCAATTAACGACGGCCAGTACGTTATTATTTACATCGAATAAATTTTTATTAAGCGCCTCTATTAAACCTTTAAGTTGTAAAATTCCTTGTTGTATATTTTGATACCTGAAAATTAAAATAATTAGAGTTAATTTATTATCAGCGACAAACAATTGAAGCATAAATTAGCCTCTTAATATTACGTAGAAAGCATCGAGTTAGACGATGGTAGAAAGACAAAACCTCTAAAATTTATGTATAAATGCCCGTCATTGATACAAATCAAATGTGAAAATAGCCTCAATAATATTTAATTAAAAAAAAAGTATATAAAATTTAATTATACGCAAATAAATACAACTGTATAAAAATGTAGTAAACAATTATTGTCAAATCTATAAGATTATAATTTTAAAAATTTCTTTCACTCATTTCTGTTGCTATCCAGCTGTCCATGTTTTCCCTTCTTTTCTAGTATTTCCAGAATCACAAATTGTCACTGTTCAATGAATTCTAGTAATGCTTCTATTTGTAGGTCTTTCCTAATATTCGTGTTTCTCATTCTGTCCGTTGTGTTCACTCCTCTGACTATCCTTAAATATTTCATTTCTAAGATAATATATTTTTTTCCGCAAATCGCCAGGAAATTTTGACATTCCTGTCAAAATTTCTTGAAGAAAAAGTCAGGACTTCCTTACTGTAAGGAAATGTCATTTCCTTACTGTAAGGAAATTATATTTCCGTACAGTTGTTAGTGTTCTACATAAGTTTGACAATTCAACCTCAATACGTTTCCATAGTAACCCAAGTAATTTTATTAGGAATTTCAAAGCACCATTTATTTGGGAATAAAATTATCGCGTTTTTTTTAAATCAATCAATATCTTTCGAATTTTAAACGATTTGCGGAAAAATAGTATGTTTACCTCGTAGGAAAAGCCACATTCCTGGACTCTGTGTTGCTAAGTCTCGGCTTGCGCCTCGACTTAGCAATCTTCACAGTCGTCCAGGAATGTTAAGCTTTTCCTACCCAGTAAACAATGTACTATTTTTGTTAAGCAAACATAATTCACAAGCAAACTTTAATACTGATCTATATATTGTCTTAATCACCTAAATTTTCTTATTTCTCGTTATTTCTTTTTTATTTAAGAAGGTGTTGATCGCTGTGTAATAACACTTTACCTTCTTCTCTGTTTTGTTATTAATTTCTGTTTCGGATTTCCCGCTTTGGGAAATGCTAACTACTATATTGTTCTGAAGCTATTTTCTTGTGGCATTGTAAATTAATTACTATTAAACTGGGAATAATATTATATTAAATATAGAGAATTTGATAGATCTCAAATCTGTAAACACGCATGGGATAATGAACATAGGGTTCAATGGAATAATTCAAATGTAGTCCTAAAAGAAACGGATGGTAAAAAAAGAAAAATTAAAGAAGCGGCTCTAATTATGCTAAATGAGGCCAATTGTGTCGCAAATTCCTCGGCAGAATGTAGTAGGATCTGGTTACCAATATTGAAAGAGGAAGTTATTAATAAGAAAATACCAGTATTAGTAAGTCAGTAACATATAGAGGATACATCATTTATGTTTTTTAAATAACGTTACATATAAAATCAGAATTTTGATGTTTGTTGAAGGTAAACTAAATTCAGGAACAAATACTTACAATGTCGGGATAGTATTATGAGGTTTTTTTCCTGGTTTTTCCCTCATAATTTACTATGGAATCACTAACAGGAGAATTTTACTGTCATCATGTCATGTGTTTGTCTTTTTAAAGACGAATTACATGCTATGATTTTTTTCTGACGGATATTCTCAAGTTAAAGTTGATTTCATGTAATCGAATGAACTATCTTATAAATAAAGTCGTCCCAGGAGCGCAAGTCAACAATATTGGCAATATCATTTTAAAGTCGTCTACTTTAAAATGTATAATGTATGTCTGAATTGTCAATATAAATGAGTCAGATAAAATTATTTTATTAGAAGAATTTTTCACTATGTAACAAAAAACAAAATTTGTTTAATTTACTGTTTGTATTTTGAGAACGATTTCCGAAGTGGAAATTGAAACGTCAATAAACGTATTTTTATCTTTAATTGTGGCTTATTCCCAGTTTAATAGTAATTATGCTAACTACTAGGTAATTAAATGTTTATTAATGGTTTTATTTTTGTTCTGTGATTTCTATATTTGTGACAATTCGTTCATCTCCTATCAGCATAATAAAGGCAACTACAAAAAATTTATATACCCAGGGGGCACTTGCGGATGATACAATGGTAATGGTGAGAAGGAACAATGACCTAGAGGAGAATCTGTAATAAGGTACTGCAAACGAGCGGAATAAAGATGAATAAAAATAGAACAAAAGTTATGGTTCATAACCTCTTCAATGATCTTGTTTAGGTCTTCGTCACTTCTTAGGTATATCACATGAAATTTTGTTGTTTTATTTGTATATCCCTTTATGATACTGTCCATGTATATTATGAACAGACTCGGGCTTAACCTTTTGACTTAATCATCCATCTGACTGATCTAAATTCTTGTGATGCAATATTGTATTCATATTAATAATTATGTTTAATCGTTTGCAATAATTTCTTGCTTAATTCCCTTTCCTTTAGTTTTTCCACATTACTTGTTTGAGCATTATGTCGTTGGTGTTAACTGTTTAATCGTAAATATGTGGTTTTGAGTATTTTTTCACATTTAATCCGCTTTTTTTATTTAAATAGTGTATATCCTACAATTGATCTTATTCTGGAATCTATGGCTTTTTAAAACATTTTTATAGTGGTGTTTAGCAATGTAAGTCATCTATAATTACTACAATCTTTTTTGTTTTCTTTTTTTAAATATTTTCACTATTTGTTCTATTTGTCATTATCTTGGAAATTGTTTATCTTTTTATATTTTCTTAAATAATTTAGATCATATTTCGGTTCCTTTCTGCCCATATATTTTTCCATTTCTGACGTTATTGTATATCTCCAGTTACTTTTCGATTTTTCAATTCTTTTAACTTAATATCAAAACTTGCTGGAACAACTTGGGGTGCTTCTGCAGATACTCTTCGGACCTCTGCTCTAGCTTTGGTTTTTTCAGTGGCAGAATATTCTGCACCAGTATGGCTAAATAGTGCACATACAAGCAAAATCGATGTCCAACTTAACCAAACCATGAGAATAATCACTGGAACAATAAAATCAACGCCAGTGAGATGGCTGCCTACTCTGAGCAATATTGCTCCACCAGATCTACGCCGTACAGCAGCATTAGTGAGAGAGTACCAGAAAATTGTAGCCAACGTACAATTACCAATACATCAAGATATCCCAGACATCTCAAAAGAGCACCAACGATTGAGATCTAGAAATCCTCCAATACGATCTGCCCGAAAAATTGGTAATTCCTATGATATACATAGGCAATGGACAACAAGATGGATGCCAACAGTAGAATCGGACTATATTAAGATATCCACCCAACTCAGGGTTTCATCGGATCAAATCTGCCCCGGTCCATTTGGGCAAGGCTTAATCGTATACGTACCGGACATGGTAAATGTGCTGATTCGCTGTTCAGGTGGGGTCGTGCAGAAAGTCCACAGTGCGATTGCGGAGAATCTAGACAGACTATAAGCCATTGTGTTTCAGACTGCTTGAATCGTGCCTACCGTGGAAACCTCCAGGACTTTGCGGAATGTTACCCAGAAGCAATTGAATGGCTATGTAAATTGGACATTAATATTTAGTGTCATTCATTCTATTCATTCTATTTTTACTATTTTTAGTGTTTGAATAATATATATAATATATTATTATATGTGTATATTATTGTAATTGTATTTGTATATTTATCGTACTGTGAAAGTCCATACGCTAAATAAATAAATTTTATTGCAAGTTTCTTTCATTGTCATTTCGTCTTTTTCTACATATATCAGCAATACATTTCCATCTTCTTCATTTATTTTCACCTATTCAGTATATCCATGATCTTTGTTAGTATTTCTTCTTGTTTATTTTTTATGAGATGTCCTTCAGTTTTAATGTTTTTTAATATTTTCGGTACTCTACAAAACGATTTTTATTTTCTTTACTATTTCTTTTCATTCCTCTACTGAATTGTATCCATTCTGTTCTTTTGTGCTATAACTTCTTGTTTGGTTTTTTTTTTAACTTTGTATATATCATATTTCTCTATTGTTTTATCCAGTAAGTATTTTTTTCATGCTATCTATTTCTTTTTTATTCTGCTTCTATGTCTGTTTTCCACCATGTAGCGCAGAATTTTTTATTACTCTTGTTTACTTCTATTCCACATATTTGTTTAGCTGCATATAGGAACGATATTTTGTAATATTTCAATACTTCATATTATATATTACTGCCTTTGGTTGTACATTTGTTGCTTGTTAGTTTTTTGTTAACAATTGTTCATATTTCTCAGCAGGATTTTTGTTTCGTAGTTTATAGGCTCCTGTTGTCATTTATCTATTTATTTATTTAGTTTACTTTTCATTTTTTACTAAAGTTTTTGTTTTTTTGTATATTTTTTCTAAATTTTGGTATTAATTCATAGTGGTCGGTCCCAATTTGTGGCTTACTACCTACCTACTTTGATATCCACAATCTGTTATTATGTTATTTTTTTCTATTAATATATAGTTAATTGGACAGTGTATTAATTAAGTGGAATAGGTTCTAAAAATTATATATACCTATAAACCTATTGGAAAAAGTGCCAATGCCAATCTAAGTGAAGTCAAATGCTTTTTTTTTGTAAATAGTCCACTCACTACTAGATGACACCGTTTGTAGGTCTGTTAGACTTTTTCTCAAATCGGTTCAAGTCGGAAACATACATGCACTATTCGGCGAATAACACTTATTCACAATTCACCGAGTACTCTGTAAATGTAAACGAATAGGATATACATTACATAAATACCTACTGACACACTAGTCGCTAATTGCTAAATAGCAAATATTCGTTATTCAGGACTTGCCCAGTATATAAAATAATAGATACACAACTGAAAATCAAAATATGGATTTGATAGAAATTAATGAAAATGGAAGGCAAAATATAGGTCAGAAACCACATTCCATAAAAATACTATTACATAAGCAGCAGATCAGAAAAAAGACACAAACAAACAGGAAAAATGGTTTAGTCAAAAATGCAAAATAACCGTCAATAAAACACGCAAAAAAATATTGAATTACCTGTCGAACCCATCAGATAAAATCGTAGACACTATACAGGAAAATGGGCGCTGCCAGAAAATTAAGGAAAAAAGAGACCTTAACTCCAGCAAAAAAAGTAGAACAAGAACATAGATAGACAATATATGTATAGGAAGAGCCGCTGCCAGAAAAATATTAAGGGAAAAGGAGACCTTTAGAAAGATAACAGATACAATCAAACTAAAACATTTTACAGGTAGAGGTAAGACATCATAAGAGATGCTAGTTGTATCTGAAGGACACAACTTTCTCAGAGATAAAAAGAAAAATATTGCTTACTGCCAAAAATAAAATAATCGAACGACAGCTCAATATTCTAAAAAACTTCTAAATGATCAGAGAGTCACTGATGAAAACTGCTATTTAAATAACCACACTAAGTCTAGAAGAAATAATCAATGCTGAAAATCACTGGAATACAACAAATCCCTAAATCCGGATAATATTTATGCAAAAACTAATCGAAAAAAGGAGTAATGAGCTTCTCCTAGAGTTCGCTTAAAAAAAAAAGAATGTTTGCTTATGAAGCTATAACTATTCAGCATCGATTTTTTAAGCTAGCTTTTGAAGCATTTAATGACTACGTACAGTATGTATTTCAACATGAAGAACGCAAAGGTACAGAATCCTCTAAATATAACTACAACTTTGACCACATAATATACCCAACTTTATTTACCTGATTTAATATATTATTAAAAATGAATTGCAGTTATCCTAATATTTACATTGCTATTAGAATTATGTTGACCATAGAGTTAGCTTTTAACATAAACTACAAATCCTTACTAGAGGATTTTAGCAAAGTAAAGAACCGAAGAACATTATTTTTGTAAAATTACATGTAATGCAAAAACAAAATAAATAATTTTTTTCACATTGGTTTTTTTTAATACTTTTCCGCCACACATTTATAAGTCCTTCATTATCATGAGTATCTTATATGTTTGAATTGAATGTAGAATTAATTTATTGGGTAGATTTTGGAAACAGATACTGAAAGAAAGGAATCGCTGATGCAACATCACTCACGTCTAGACTAGTCCAAGCTATGCCACTCAAGTTATTGCACAATAAATATTAAAAATACCAGTTAAAAACCTAGAAGATGACTTAACAATCAACTTCTATAAAGGGAAACTAACAAAAGCAATAAACAGTAATCGAATCCCGGAAGATGATATAGTAAAGGAGAGCTGGTTAAAAATAAAAACAAATATTCCCCTGCAATGTCATCTCTTAGCAAAAAGACAGTAAATAGGAATAAGAAATTCCCAGGATTACTTTGAATTTAATAATAAAATATATACAAATAACAGTGCAGAACTTATAATGGGCAATCCTCTAAAGCCCATTGCTATCAGATATTTTTATGGACAAATTTTTCAAAACATCCCATATTCAAACACTTTTTATATTGGTGGAGATATGTAGACGATGTACTGATATGTTTCACAGGAACTAACAGGCAACTCGACCAATTTTATCGTATATTAATTCATTTCATAGTCATATTGAATTTACAATAGAGACAGAACAAAATTAATATATAAATTTTTTAAATTTAAAAATTTTATCAGACTTAAAAACAAACATGACTTCTCCGTATTTTATAAACCCACCCAAACTGACACGACTATACATAATTCAATCCCACACAGCATAAACTGGCAGTATATCATAGCATGTTACATAGCTTAACAAAAATTCCGATGTCGAAATACAACTTTGAGACAGAATTAAATATCATTAAGCAAATACCAGTAAATAATGGATACAACGAACAAACAATTAATAAAATTTTAAATCAAAAACTACACAAAAGAGCCCTGACATTTGTGTATTTGTGTAAAAAAGCGTACTAATCCTGACGTTTAAAAAAAGTGACAAAAAATAGAAAAATTAAATAAACATCGATTTAATAAACACCTCGCAGAAACTAACTAAAACAATTTTAACCAATTTACTAAACAAAAAAATATTAAATGAGGAAGAACAACATCTCTTCCAAAGAGAAAAATCGTGTACAGACGCAATATTTGTTACAAGACATATCACGGGAAAGGCACTAGAATACAATCGATCGGCGTTGCTTTGCTTGATTAACTTAAGAACATTTTGAAATAGTAATGCTCAAGAACATTATTTACTTTTTATACAATAGACACATCTCATTAGGTATCATTAAAACAATCAAATATATACACAAAGACAACAAAATGCCGGCCAGAATAGATGGACAACTGACAGAGGAAATCGACCCATGAGTCAGAGACCCTCCTTAAAACAACTGCTTTTTAAATTTATAATGGAAATAATAATTAAACTCGTGAAGAGAAGTAAAGGTTATAACATGGGAAAAAATAAATTACGTTTTTCTTGTATGCAGACGATGCCATATCAAAAATTAGTCCATAAGTTTAACAAAGGTAATAGTAAAGAAGATACACATGGTCAGTTTAGTCCAAAAACAAAAACAATAGTTACCAGTAAAGATCTGACCAAATGTAAAATAGAAATTGACCATGGACAGATCATGAAAATCATCTATTTCGACATCACACTTCCAGTTACAGTGATGTAGACACAGAGGTAAAAAAATACAATAATGTGTCAAAACTATTATACTATATCGAGAAACAAACGCATCAGGAAGAACATAGTTTCAATCACTTCCCAGTTTATAGCGTCTTTCGAATTACTATCAGTTTTTGTCCAATCTTCTGCACATTGATCCTTTTTATTCAAATATTTGTAACATAAATAATTTTAATGTCATAGTATATGGTCTATTTTAATCTTGCTATGATAAAATTTAAAAAATAATTGTTTTCTTTTCCTCTTACTACGTTTTTCTATTTCAGAAAAGTAAACAAAAGAAATATTTTATAGAAGTGTATAGCTATGTTAAGAAAACCATCTGAACAAATGATCTTAATACCTAACTAATAAACATTAACTGGTTTTTAAGGCAACATATAACATATAAAATCAATGTATATCAGAAGGTAAGGGAAATAACAGGAAAATGTATAAAGACAAGAATAATTCAACCTTTTAATGACAATCAGGAGGTAATTGTGGACAAAAAGAGGATTGATAATACCTGAAAAAACTATATCAGAAATTCATTTTTTAAGAAGAGGGATAACCAATCCCCGAAAACCGGACCACCTATATTAGTGACAGAAATAAGAGCATCCATAATATCGCTTAAAGAAGGCAAAGCTACAGAACCAGACAGAATACAGACTGAATTTCTTAGACTTCTTGATAGTAATTCTTTAAAAATACTATGTGAAATTTTCAATAATCTATAAAACATTCAATATTCCAAAAGATTGGCTAGTTTGAGAATTTATTATATTACGAAAAAAAAAAAAAAACATGGAGCGAGTCGCAAGTCTAATGATCCATACACTTGTTCTTAAAATTGTATATGGCAGAATGTATAAGCTATGTGAATAGAGAATACAAGACACAGTTTGGATTTAAGAAATACTTAGGAGAGATGCAGGTATTATTAGAATGATGCATTTGCAATATCTACACGTACTTTGTGGACTACCAAAAAGCATTCGACACCAATAAACGCCAAAAATGATGAACGTTTTAACAAAAGTATGATAAAAACCAGCGTATAATATAAAATTTGTACCGGAAAAAATAGTGAAAATTTTGAACAGGAAATAAACATATCAAAACTAAATGTATGCTCATCAGCAAAAATAAAATTGGAGGCACCCAACTTCATATTAAGATTATACCAGTGGACCGAGTAAAACAGATTACCTATTTTGGAACAATAGTAAACACACAATGGGATTCCAGAAAGGAAAAAAAAAGTATACGAAATAAGACTAAGAGTGCATTGAACAACATGGCCAAACTTTTTAAAAGCCATAGCATTAATCGGGATATTAGAGTAAGATTCATATAATGTTACATCTTCTCAGTACTATACTACAAAGTTGAATCCTGGATACTCACTGAAGCCATGGAAAAGAAACTTCGAGACGTGGTTACACAGGCGAATCCTGTGGATACCATGGACGGACAAGATAACCAATGAGACCGTATAACTAAGAATTGCAAAAGGAAGACAAGTAAGTTATACGAATAAAAGGAGACAGAATATCAGACTCATTATTGGGAAACGGGTACTAAATGTGGATTACTAAAAATATTCCTCTAAGGCCAAATATTCAAGAAACGGAGAATGGAGAGCAGAAGAATACCATAATTAAAAAACCTAAAAAAATAATTCTCCACAATAACAACTAATCTATTTTAAACATTGGTCAATAAAATTATTACAGCCAAAATTATGGCTAATATTTGAAACGAATGGGCACCAAAAGATGAAGGTTTTACGGTAACTACAAATGGATAATAAATATGATCCAGAAAAGCAAAGATATATGTTTGGTGCCTATTTAATTATAAACGAGATTTTGCTACAACATCTTTTGATTAACAGGTTATATAGTTACTTACATCACGGGAAATATGAAAGCCTCTGTGCTGGCGACCCCCATTGAGATAACTACAAACAATATTAGCTTTGGAACCATCTTGTGACAATATCTGAAATCAAGATGAAAATTAAGACTAACTCACATTAATACGAATATACATATACTGGTAAGAGTTTGCCGGAACCTATTAATAAACAGAAAATCAGATAATAAAAATGAACCTTTTTAAAATATGATGACCTTTCGCCAGGAATTATAAACGTGAAAAACATTCTGTTGATAACGATTTTTTTTTTCACGGGCTTATCCGAGTTGCGGAAAATCCATTCATGCATACCCGAACTATTTTATTTGTAGTAACTAATATTGTATACACTTTTTACATTATATGGGTATTTACAAACATTAACAAATAAATAAAACAGCATAATTGATAAGAAATATATATCAGCATATTATCCAATTTACTATTTTTGTTGGGAATTAATCAAAATTGTAGTTTAAATCTTTTGAAATCGTTCTTAAAATACAACATAGACAATTAAGTAATGCACAAAATTCTTCTACTAATTTAATTTCAGTTCTGTTCATCCTTTTGTAGGCTTTATAAAATATGTAGATAGTGCCAATATTAAAAAACAATAAAATAAGCGAAACTATAGTCTATTTGGATGATTTGCTGGATGCCAGAGATAGATCACCAGAGAGTAGAAGCAAAGAATATAGACGCTTCTAAGCGTCTATATTCTTTGGTAGAAGTATTGGCCGATCTTAAAAAAGATGTAGTGACCACCTTATGCAGACCTATTAGTCTGCCAATAACCAAACAGAATTGCTTATAGCAAGGAAAAAGTAAAAGAAGAATTTTCAATGTGATTTTTAAATATAAATGTATATATATATACATATATATTATATATATATATATATATATATATATATATATATATATATATATATATATATATAAATCTAATAAACGTAGTTTATGCATATTTGTCGATCTCTCTAAGGCGTTTGACATGATATCTCACGGTATCTTGTTAGAGAAACTTGAGAAGTATGGTCTGAGAGGACGCGTTTTGACATTACTAAAAAGTTACTTAACAGACAGAAAACAATTTGTAGAAATTGATGGTGTCGAAAGTGATCCTGAAGTAATTAATTATGGCGTACCGCAAGGGACCGTTTTAGCCCCTTTACTCTTTACACTCTATGTTAATGACATGCTTAAACTAAAAACTGATGGAAACATAATAAGCTTTGCTGATGACACCGCAATTTTTTATAAGGCCGAAAATTGGGAAGATCTTAAGACTACAGTTGAACAAGACTTCAAAGTTATAAAAACATTCTTGCAAATAAATAAACTCACAATAAATTACGAAAAAACTAAATATATACCTTTTGCAATATATAAAAATTCTCTACCAACTTTTAACTCATTAAAAATAAATAAAAAACAACAAATATTGAAAGCAGAATACATAAAATATCTAGGAGTTTTAATTGACAGGCACCTTAAATGGGACTTACAAATAAAAAATATTATAAGAAAAATAAGAGGACTGTTACCAACATTCCGCTATTTAAAAGAGTTTTTAGATGTTGAACAGCTTAAAATGATTTACCTGTCTTTAGTACAATCTCATCTTGTATATGGGATTTTAGGATGGGGTGGCGTAGCTGATTGCCATCTGGCGACCCTTCAAAATACTCAGAAATGGTTTTTTAAACTAATATATGGAAAACGAAAAACATATCCCTCAGACCAACTTTTTCATGAAACTCAGGTTCTTGATGTTCGGCAATTGTACTGCTTAGAGCTACTTAAAAATATTCATAAAGATAAAATACCTCTTAACACTTCAAAACAATCAAGCAACGGTCAATTAAATATTTTGCTCCAAGAATATACAATCAATTGCCCATAAATTTTAAAAATATCAAAAATTTTTATTTGTATAAAAAATTAGTTAATGCTTGGGTAAAAGAAAAAAGGGAGTTGTGTAACAATTTAATAAATTTAAATTATACTAGATAAAAAAAACGAAACAAATTAGATTAGATTAGAAACTGTAAAAATGAAATAATAATTTGTAAAAACAAACATTAAACTGGTTAATATTAGACAGCTTAAGTCAACAAGCATGTTAATGCTTTAAAGACTTTTTTTACGTTTATGTTACTGTAAGTAAACTGAATTTGAAATTGTAAATTAATGTAATAATTATTGATTTGAATAAACGTATATTATATATATATATATATATATATATATATATATATATTATTGTGATATTTAAAGTCTTGGTGCGCCAAGCAATAATTAGCTAATTAATTTTTTTGATCAATTAAAATTATTTAAATGATATGATTATGACTCTATCACAATTTTTAATTCTTTTATCTCAGGGTTAAATTCGTGCTTCAATATCTATGCTATTACATGTGAAAGGGAAGGTCCAAAGAATACCGGAATAATAAAAAAACACATATAGGATCTAACGTTATATATTGAAATAAAATAATGAAATAAAATTCACACTCAAATGTTTTCGATAAACAAATCTCATATAATGATTCTCAAAATTTTGTTCTACGTACGTGAACCTTCAAAATTAATGGTACAAACAATATAAGTTGAAATCTCAAAATCGAAATATTATTCTAAATCTAATCAAAATATTTATATCCTTTCTAAATTAAGTGTAAAAATTGTGTTATCAATGAATGAAAAACTGCAGAAAACAAAACTATCTCTCTCTGATGATGAGTGGTCCAAATCCTTGTTATTTGTAGACTATATTATTTACTCGTGGCCGCTCCCTAGGTAATCAGCAATCTTACAACAAATTATTGCAAGTATATCGTCCTTAATGATCTCATTCAAATGCACTAATCGTTCAAATTATGCTAGCTTCTTCTTCTCTCAATAAACTGAATCTCTCGTTGGCCTGAGTGAAAAATGACTCTTGGAATATCTTTTCTTTACGATAAACTGAATCTCTCGTTGGCCTGAACAGTGACTCTTGGAATATAAGTAGAAAAATATGACTTACAATATTTTACTGGATCAGCTTCTGTCAGATACACTAACTACACGAAAACTCACAAACTTTCACTGCTACTGCTTCCTACTTCTGGGAAACTACCCGAGAACAACGGCCGTTCGCCTTGCACCCTTGGAAACCAACTAACTATCTTTTTTCACTCCTAAATCTAGCTAAACTTTCATTCCTACATACCTATCCCACCTTTTTCAATCTCCGCCAATCAAAACTCGTCACAATTTCCCCATTTTTTCATTTCGATAACAAACAACTTTTTACCTATATATATATATATATATATATATATATATATATATATATATATATATAAAATTTCCTAAAACTTATTTACAAATAATATTTTTCTACAATTCTTAAAGACTAACAAAAACCTCTTTCTAAAATCTCTTCTATTGTCTTTAATCACTGCGTTAATGTATTTGGAAAACCCGGTTCAATTGTTCTTTGGATTTCACTTAAAATTATGCGGGTTACTCAAGTATAGTATAACAAAGGAAATAATTTATGCAAAGCTTACATTTTGTTTAATACAAGTAATCCAAAAATTTTAAAACTTTCCTTCTTCGAAATGTTTGTTGGTTATTATCCTACTTATCTAAATTATTTTAATGTTTTTGAATTTTGAAATATTTTAAACAACAAATATTTTTCTCGATTTTACATATCATAACAATATATATATATATATATATATATATATATATATATATATATATATATATATATATATATATAACAATTCATTGTATTGGTGTATCGGGTATGCGGTCTGTTATTTAAAAAAAAACTTTAGAAATTGAAAATGATTGTTCGATATCATTTCTGGACACCAAATTAAAAAGAACTGAACAAAACAAAATATTGATAGATTGGTATCAAAAGTCAACACACTCTGGAAGATATTTAAACTTTTTTCAAATCATCCTACTCATCAAAAGTTTAATACAGTGATTGCAATTAAGAATAGGGTAAGGCATATTGGTGATGATAAATTCATAAACATAATCTTCGCTTGCAACATATTCTTCAGAAGGTCTGCAGCCAAACTCTAGGTCGCAGGGCAAACGAACTTCACGACCTAACATCAAGCAGGTTGGAGTCAGGCCTGTAGTTTCATTCACGGCCGAGCGGTAGGCCATTAGGAATAAATGAATGTGCTGGTCTCAATTTCTTGATGTTCTGATACAACTTTAAACAGGTGTTTAACCATCGTTCGGTTCATCCTCTCCACCATTCCATGTGATTGAGGATGCAGGAGTGTCGAGGATGCAATTTACAAACATTTTGGAAAAGGGTTGAATCGAAGTTTCGACCTTGGTCGGAGTGGATCTCCAAGGAAACACCAAATCGGCCAAGAATTCTTTAACAAGTACCTCTGCAACGGTAGCAGCTTCTTGATTTGGCATCGCATAGGCCTTAGTCCATTTTGTAAAAAAGTCCATGGCTACCAGGATATATTTATCTTTTTACATCATCTTTACAGTTCACCCAATAGAACCGTTCTCGAATCTTTTATAGAATCTTCGTAATACCAAAGTGTCCACCTGCTGCACCGTCATGACCCTGACGCAAAACTTCTGACACTTTACTTTTAGGTACAATCAACTGAAGCTTAGATTCTGTACCATCATCGTTCTCAAAGGTTCTATACAGAAGATAATCTTTTAGTACTAGGCAATTCCATTGGCTTCAGTAACACTTGACTTCTGGACTACATTCACTGTCTTGCCAAGAAGGTCTTTCACTTCGACGCATCCAATCCAATACTTTTTTTATACATGGATCATCTGCTTGAGCGTCTTGTAACTGTCGTGCTGACGAAGACGAATAAACTATTTTTGAAAAAAAAGTCCACCGCCATTTTCATTTCTTTTCTGCCACATGATCAGAAGATTTTTTTTGTTTTGGCTAAAAACTGAACAAGAATTACCCATACTATATGTTAGTGTACCTACTTTTATGCATTTTTACATTGTTTTTAAATAAAACAGTTTTTTCAACTTTTCTTAAAATGTTCATTTTTGGACATGTGGGGTTTCTCAAATAAGCGATTCAATTATAGTATTTG